ACTCTTTCCTTTGCACTGCCTAATTTGTGTTCATTTAATCTATTAATAATCTGTTGAATATGTTAAAACAACAGAAAGCCTGTCTTGCCAGAGAGAATACTCTTGTTTTTATCTGTGATCTTGTTGAGTAAGCAAAGATGTTAATGTGGATTGTCCTGACTCAGGTTAAAAATGGTGAGAGACCGGACTTAATGGGAACTTGGTATCTCTTTTGGGTATTAACAGGATTAAAGGTGTTCAGTGCTTTATGCATGGCCCTTTGTATTTTAAGAATAAAGAATCCCATACAGTTCTAATACAGTTTCTGTGACTGATGGCAATGTGCAAATCCATTAGGATGAACTTTGTTATCATTCCCTTGTTGAAAATCAGTCTTGCATCTCTGTGTTCTGAGTATAACCTGGGAAAGTGTTCTAGTCACTTAGTTTTCCCCTGTTAGCATGCATGTTTTGTTTTTTTAAAGATTGAATTGGAATTGGCTTGTGCCGTCTGTCTTGACTCTCCTGTCTGTTCATGAACAGCACAGTTTTGGAGCCACTTAGAATAGGCATATAACTTTAACTGACAGCATTTCTTTCTGGTGTTGGGACTGTGTGAACTCTTAGCTCTAATGTTTCATCCTGTCTGTAAACATAAAAGAATGATGAGCTATATGGAACCTTCAAACGGCTAATGTCAGAAGGTTCCCTTTTGGAGCCAGTCATGCTTCTATCTTACCTTCTGTGCATAATTCCCCTGCACGCTGACTCTCGTACTAAAATAATAAACTTCTTTCCTAGTAACCTCAGAATCAAATAGAGAAAGTAATTTTTGAATAACAAAGTAACACTTCTGCCCTAGTGTGAAGTTCAGTAGTAAATAGGCTTTGCTTTTAATGTAACTTTTTCATGTTCTTTTCAGATGGAGATCTTATAACAATTTTTGATAGCTCAGATCTTTCCTTTGCAATTCAATGCAGTAGGATACTTAAGCTGACATTGTTTGGTAAGTATAGAATATTGTTTGTCTTTTTTTAATAATGTTTATTAAAATTCAGGCAGTGGGCTTCCCTGGAGGGTACTAAAAACTTGGTTGGACTGGATGATCTTAAAGGTCTTTTCCAACCTAAATGATTCTATGATTCTATGATAACTTTCAGTTTGTCACCTCATAAGAATGAAATCAGGAAGTTAAAAATATTGGATTAATACATGGTATCTATTTTCTCTCTTGATGTTTCATGTGAAACTGAAACAACTTCTTTTTATGAGATTGCTTGAGGTATTTGGCATATATATATGGTCAGTGGTTTTTTCTTAATGTTATTTTCCATGTTATCTTCTACTCCAGCATTTGTGGGGTTTTCACAGGTGCATGAGAAATTTAAGATGATGATTATCTTGCAGTGTTACTAGCACACTGCTAAAAGCTAATATTAATTACTTAAAGTTGAATAGATTTTAACATTTATACTTCGGCCTTTATATAAAATAGTTCTTTATTTTCAAGCTACTGTTGGTAAATTAGCACATAATTCCAAGGAATAGCAAGCAGCCTTTAGTTTGGACAGTGACCTTATTCATGAATTGCAGCAGTGTTGTGTATGCATGCATTAGTTCTAAAGGCACTTTTGAAGGGGACAGCTTTCCACAACCAAATATGATATTTGTATTGTTCAGGGAATATTCATGGAAATGAGTAAACAATGCAGAACTTTACAGAACTTGCAGAACAATGCAGAACTTTTACAGCAGACTTTACTCTGCAGTTCTGGTACTGTGGATTATGCTGAACTGAGATGATATTAAAGGAACAGTAAGCTCTAGAATGAGTTCAGTCTGTGTTGACTAAACTTTGTCACTTTAAACTCCACAGAGGATGATGATGCTACAAGCAAGTAAAAGCTGGCAATCTTTGTAAATAAAAGCTTGCATTTTTTTTTTTTTTTTTTTTTTTTTTTTTTTTTCAATTTTAAACTGGACGTCAAAATGTTATTACAGTCTTAAATTTATCTAATTGCTGTTTTGCAGTGAATGGACAACCAAGACCCCTAGAATCTAATCAGGTGAAATACCTGCGTCGAGAGCTGATAGAACTTCGCAATAAAGTCAATCGTTTACTGGACTGTTTAGAACCACCAGCTGAACCGGGGCTTTCTACTAACCTGCCTGAAAGTGGTAGGCAGCCTGGCAAAAAATTGTTTGGTTTGCTTTGCAGAGTTGTGTTTTGTTTAACAAAGTGAAAAATGGAGGCTTCAATACTGGTTGTGATCATTCTTAATTGTTGCTTGGCGGTTCAGAACTTAATTTTTAATGCAGTTATTTCAGAGGCAGAATTTTCAAATTATCTGGAGTAAAGCACTAAATTACTTAGGAATAAAACTTCAAAGTCTGAGTTTTTGTTGCAATGTATGAAAATGCTGTTAACTAACACTTGTGAGTCAGGACAACATTTTGAGAGGGCTTTGAACTGAATTAATAGTTTGTTGTTGCTGAAGAGTTCTTGCTCCCAGCTGAGCATTTCCACTGCTTACTTTGGGCTAGCTCTGGTGCTTAGCTTGTCATGTTGCTACGCAGGTTTGATTCACTAAAACAGTAAAAAGTGAATTCAGCAAAAATTATATCCACTTTTTTTGCCAGGTTAGGAAATTGAATCCACAGATTTTGAGCTCAGACCAGCATCAGAGCTGTCTCAGGGTAAGCAGCACAAGGGTGCAGGTAGGGGTGGGAAAGGATTATCAGGGGAGGGCAAAAAGGGGAAGGAAGTCTTACTCACCCAGTTTTGAGGCATTGATCTCCTAGCTTAGGACTGTTGTACTGTAAAAAATACACCTCTGTGTGCTCAACTACAGATTTTGGGTAAGCTGGACACAGAAAATAATGACACAAAGTGATGGAGTACAGTGTTCCGAGTAAACAGGCCAATGAAGAACTCCAGCCTTTATTTTAGGAAACACTGCTTTTGTATTTTACACTTTGAAGTTTTATTGGTTCATCACTGATTCATCATTGTTATCCTAACATAAGCATTTCAACAGTTAAAACATTTAAAAAAACCCCCACACCTATGCAATTTTAAAGTCACTGTAGTACAATATGTATGTATGATGGTGTTTCAGTTCTCAAGAATTAATAACTGGGCATTTTGTTTTGTAGATGCTGTAGATGGTAGGGAAGAAAAGCCTGCTGCTGCTGACTCTAATGTTAAGCCATCTACTCAAGTTATAGCAGCAAGCATGTCTGCATTTGATCCGTTAAAGAACCAGGATGAAATCAGCAAGAATGTCATGTCAGCGTTTGGCTTGACAGATGATCAGGTGTCGGGTAAGAATACCTCTTATAAAAAGGAAAGCAAAACCTGTTCATAATCAGTGACTCAAATCTTGATTTGTAACAAAGCATTTGTATTTTGGATGTATTAAGCTGTTGTGTTCTGTAGTCACTTTTCAGAATTCTAAAACTTGAGATGTTAAGGTGTTTTAAGTGTGTTTGCTAACTTTTGTACACAGAATGTTGAAATGCTGTTGGTTTTAGCATTGTGTTTTAGCTTGGAGTAGAAAATGGCCTAAAATTTTTATTTGAATTATTTAAAGCTGTTGTGTAGAGTAACTTAATTGGTATCTGCCAGTGATAGAAAAACAGTATCCACTGCTCTGCCTTAGGCTCTGATCTTGCAGTTCATGTTCGTGGCTTGTGCTTCTGCTGTTTGGGTCAGTCAGAATGTTTTGTACGACCCTGCCTTTTCTCTGTTTGATTTCAAAAGTAAATAGTGTCAACTTCTTTACTGTTAACAGAAAGGAATAACATTTAACAGAAAGGAATAACATACTTGTCTGAATTATATTTATTCTTAAAGAGCTGCATGACTATTGACCCCACCTTGTAGTAGAACACTAAACATATAAAAATTGATTATACTAAACTGAATGCAGTCAGTTGAAGACAGGATAACTGAAGTTAGAATAGCAATGTAGAATGTAATAGGGAGTGTGATGCAGAATAGAGAGAAGTGATTTTGCACAGAATCTGTGTGGGTCTGGCAAGGTTTAATGCAGCATTGAAACCTGAAAATAAAACTGCTATTAGCTAACAGGATTTGCTGTGTACTTTCAGCTTTAGAGCAAGTAAATTTCATATGGTGTGTGAAGTAATGAATGATACAGATAGGCAAACTAATAGCAACTGGAGCTTGTTGCTACAGTACGGCTGCCTTAGCAAAAGTGTGGAGTGATAGGAATAGATCTGCACTGCGTGATTGCGACTGTGCAAGATCCAAAGTTGTACCTGCAGACAGAATGGTTGTCTTCAGATTGGGGTACTGGTCCGTGGATCAGGCCTATTGAGTGAGCTCTTCTTCCATGGCACATTTTGGATATTGTCACAGCATTGTTATTTCACAAACCAGATAAAGGGTTGATGGTACTTACAATGGGCTACCTCTGAGCAATGAAGTGATAGAGCAGAATATGAAGTACAACTAGCAGAAAATTGGAGCTAATTTTTGAAGGAGTGTTTCTGTCTTTTGGTACAAAGCCTCTGTGTCAGTTAATGCTTTGATCATAGCACCAGTGATACTTCAATGTTTACACGTGTCCACAATTCTTCTGATAGAGTGAACTGACTTGACCATGCTTTGAATGTACAAATACATTCAAATGTACATGCCTTATATTTAAGCAGGATGTAAGAAACCCCATTTCTAAAGCTATAATTCTGCAGTTATGTATATAAAGGCAAAACCAGAAGTAGGCAGATTTTGATTCATTTCACCCCTAATAAGGGTAACATGAAAACACAATTAAGGGATTGTTGGATACGTATTTATATTGTGTAACTATAACTTAAAACTCAAAGTGAATTTGCAGCAGTTCTAATACTTACGCTTAACTTTAAGCATGTATTTGAAAGCAGTGTCTTGTAGGTAGCATTCATATAACTAAGAGCTGGAAAGATCCAGGTTTAAGCTCCCTTGTTTCTAATAAAATATTTTGCATTTAATTGTATTGTATTATACCTGTTCATGTGTATATTTTGGAACTTCTCACTAACGTAGAGAAAATCTGAATTTTCTGTTTCCATGCTTTCTTTGGGTGCTAGCTGGAATATCTTCAAGAGTTATCAAAGCAGATAATTGCTTTTAGACTGAAGCCTGCCATGTCCTGTCCAGGAGTGTGAATTTAATACATTCCTTGGAGGTTTTCTGTTCACATGCTGTATGACTGTTGGTAAAACACTTTGTTGCCTGGGCCCATGTGGGCCACAGTAAAACACTAGTGCATTTGAACAGTTTCATGCAGCCTTGCACCTTTGTTCCAGATGAGAAAGAATAGGTACGTAGGTGCATATTCTGTCCACATGTAGCAAGTCTTCAGTGTACATGTGGGAGGTTAACACTTGAAGCTGTGGAAAAACCATGTTGTTACACAGGGTTTTATCCCACAAACGGGTCAGGTTCCTTGGAAGGATGAAATTTGAGTGACCTAGAGACAGGTGGAAAATTCCGCCCAAAAATATTTTCAAAGGAAAGTGTAGCTGTGCTTTATATTTAGTTTTAGCTTGGGCGTGACACTCTGAGATGTAAATCTATGGAAAACTGGAAAAATGTTAAAAACTTTGCAAGGAATGGTCTTGTAGTAGACTTTTTTTTTTTTAATTGAAATTCTCTGTTCAGTTCATATACTGTATTTTGTTCTTGCTCCACTAGGACCACCCAGTGCCCCTGCAGAAGAGCGATCGGGAACACCAGACAGCATCGCTTCCTCCTCTTCTGCAGCCCATCCCCCTGGTGTTCAGGCACAGCAGCCACCGTACCCCGGAACACAGCCACAGACTGGTCAGGTGGAAGGTAAGCAGCAGGTTTTCCTTCTATTTAAGATCTGAATGATGGTGTGTGAATCTGAGTGATCAGTAGCTATGACTTCCAATTAGCAGACTCAAAGTTGATACTAAAGTACCGATTCATCTGTGCCACTTGGGCAGAAAAACTTTTTTCCTCACGTGCTGTTCAGTACAGAAACAGCAGGTGGAGCAGTAGCTTTATTTAAAAAGGTAGGTAATATAACGTGAGGAGGACTTTCATGGTACTGTTTTCTACTTGCACCCGTGCTCACTTTACCGTAAGGCAGATTTATATGCCCTGCACTTTAAAGCTATCTGAAGATCTTAGTTCGTATCATACCCTGTGTGTTGTGTCAAGCAGTATTAGTAGTTGTTTTCACTCAGCTAACAATTTGTTGGCTTGTCTACTATGAATTAAAAATCTATCATTTCTATCTAACAAAACAGAGCCATTATTGCATTGCTTCTTTACTGTGTACAGCTCTGTGCTAGTCAGGTTAAACCTTATAACTATCTCATATGCATTGTAGTTTTCCTATGTAACCCTTGAGATCCTCAGCTGGCTCTCCTTTAAAGTGTAAGGTCTTAACTCTGGTATTCACATTCTTCTGTACTATACCCTTTTACATGTTATTTGACTTCTGAAAATAAACCTATTCAAAAGTTTGCTACATTTGGGCATCATTTTTCAATTGATATTTCCTAAGAGCACTGAGCCTTCAGACCTGCATAGTTCTGGGTGGAACTGTCTGTGGAATTAATGACTTTGGTATTTCTACCTCTGTACAAAGTACAATATGAAGTTGTTTCTGTGTTAGTGTAGAAACAAGTTACAAACCTCTTCTGCTTTTTATACTGACATAATGCTGAGGTAAATGTGAGAGGCATTATTGAGGGTGATGACAGTATCCATAGTCACTTGGAATATCTTGCCTGAAGGGCATCAGTAACATTTTGATTGAGCGGAGTGTTTGAGCAACTTGTAGTTAGGCATAGTATTTAAGCAGGCATGAATGCTGTTGGTTGCAGTAGAGCTCATAAAACACTTGTTTTGCTGCTTTCAGCTTTTTTTTTTTTTTTGCTTACTTCCCTAAGAATTAGTCAAGTGATATAAATGAGACTGCAAGAGACATCTTTGTAACTTAGAGATGTAACAACTGTTGGGTGTTTGGTATGTGTGGACGTTACTTTTGGAAAAAAGTGCTTCAGGTTCTTCTGTCAGCAGCTAGAAAATTTAATATTCAATAAATATACTCTAAGCTACTGAACTTGTGTTTTATGAATTTAGCCTTTTTACTTCACTTCTACTTTAATACAATAAGGTATGAGGTTTTAAGTGTTGATGTTAAACTAGAACTGAAACAAAAAAGTGAAACGCTAAAAAGCACTAGCAGCAGTAGGTTGGAATCCTGAATGGCTGCTAATGCCAGGGAAGGGAAAAAGTACTTGTTTCAGCAAAACTCATCTTACTTAGGAAAGAAGTTGTCTAGGCTTGGGTATCAGAGTAGATGTAATTATTTTTCTAAACTTGGGTCAAGGAAAGTATAGTGGGTTTGTGTTAGTGTGTGGTTTGTGGGTTTTTTTTGTTTTTTTCTTTTAAATAAACACTGAACTGTGCTATATCTTTGCCCAAATAATTTTTTTTTCATGTAAAAGTACAACAGCAATAATTATGAAGGTTTTGGTCTGTAGTTTATGCAGTTTTTATTATTGCCACTGAAATATGTTAAGTATTGATTACATTTTCTTCACTCTATGGATAAAATGGGATGGTTCGGTTCTTGGGAAGAGATCAGAAGTCATCATTGCACTTTGTTCATCAGAAATACTAGTGAGAGTTCTTATGCTGTGCATTGTATGCATATGGTAAACAGCAGTCTCTTACCAAAGCTGGGTAATACATGTGATTTATCAACCTCTGAGTTTTTTTCATACACTAAGTTGCTTTTATCCCAAGCGTTCAAAGACTTTCCATTGAAACATGGAGTAGCTTTCCATACTTCACTGTTTGACAGCACCTCAGTCCAGCAGTAATTCTGGGGACCTGTCCTGCTGTCCCGTCCTGCTCTTGTGCAGCTGAAGTGAGAACCAGTGCAGGGCCATGGCCCAGCCAGGACTTTGGATACATTTTGATGGTTAGGTTTTCAACTTGATTGGCTCACACAAATGGCACTGATGGTGCAGAAAATGTTCTTGTTGGAAACTAGTTTTAAAACTAGTTTTAAAATATTAGTTCACTACTTAAAAAAACAAAACACCCCAAGCTGTGCTTCCTCCCTACCTTCCCAGTATTTTGAGGATATAAGTAAAATGGTAATGCCAGTCACGTGTCAATCATTCTGGTATCTCGGGGATTATTTTTTTTAATGGCATTCTTTGCCAATAAATTATGTTATGATCATTATAGTTGGTTATTAGTTGTTCTTATTTGTGAATACCACGTCACCTCACCTCTGTGCCAATACTAATGAATGGCTTGCATCCCTTGATAAAGTTTTAAGTGTTCACTAGTTTGAATTAAATCAATACAACAAAGACGTTTCAGTATAGTGCTGTCTCTTGTGGCATGCCTGTGCTTTTGTACCACTAAATCCAGTCACTGAACACACATGAGAACCAGTGATGTACAGATGTGGACACTTTTTTAGTCTTTGCTGAAATAGATGTAAAAGTTCATTCACTCAAGCACTTCATGATCTTCTAGGGAAAATAATGTTGTGTGAAGACCTATTTGGTCTTTTTTTTTTTCTGAATCAAGCTAAAATGGCTGTTTCGGTGCACAAGAGCAATGGTAAATGCTGGCAGATCCTTGACTGAAGTAAGCACTGCTAAGTACAAAACCAGACACTGATGCTGTAGTTCATCTTGTTTTCAGAGTAAAAATGCAGTGAGAGGGAAAACTCTGTGTGTTTAAGGACCCATAGGATCGCTGACTACATTCATGGCTGTAAATTAAGAATGTTTTCTGGAACGGCACTGGAATACCTCTCTGTTCCTCACTAACGCTTTAACCCTGGTGAAGACAGCAGGCCTTCTCAGAAAGCTTTGGGAAAACTCCCTCCTGTTTCTTTCCTATCCCTTTACCTGGGGTCTCCAGCAGGTGCCAGTGTGGTCTCTCTTTTAGCCTGTAGGTAATTATCCCGAGACAGGCAGCCTCCTGGTTTTTCTCCCAGAACTTTCCTGTAACAACTGAGTTTAAGAAACAGAAAACATGCATTCTAAGTTTCTAATTCTTAATTATCAAGCTAACAGGCTTAAATTCTCTTCAAGCCTTGTGTTTAGCACTTTCTTCATCCCACAATAATTGCATACCAAATAACGATTTGAACAACTGCACAAATATAAAGTATTTTGAACACCTTAGTGTGAATGTAAAATAGCGTTGCTTTCAGCTGCAAGTAATGCAGAGAAAAGAAGAAGTAAGGAGTTCCTTTAAAGCGGTTTGCACAGGGGTCTGGGAGATCTTGGAGCAGAGATGCGTTGTTTTTGTCTTGGTGCAGTTCAGAAGATACAGCTTACAGTATATTTATACAGTCTGCTGATCTTTGCAGAATGAATAATAGTACAGTAACACTTTATAATAGTAAAGTTTCCATGTCTGCTCCAGTTCAGCTAAGCTTTAGTTTTGGCAGATAATTGGTTTTGTTCTTTGGCTGTGCCTGTTACTAAATTGAAAACCAGCAGAAACATAAAGCCTAAACAGGGCCCATAGATTAAGTCTAAACAAATATTCTGCCTCTTCTTGCCAAGAAATTGGAAACGGTGAATTTAGGAAAAATTAGCATTGCATTGGAATACCCAAGCTTAAAAATGTATGGTTTTATTTTTGCTTTAGTGTATATACCCCTGGGTCTTTTAAGAAAACTTGGCTTACAGCAAGTCAGATACTAAGAGATGGATGACTTATCTGGAAAATGTGGTCAGAATAAATAACGTACCACTCTGCTTATAGTACTTTGATGCAGAAATGGTCTTAAAAACCTAATATAAACAGACAATCTGAAGACGTGTTTAACTTTTGAAGTATTTTAATATACAGTGTAAGTTCTGGAGCAGTTATCAAGACCTTTAAAGATTCCTGCTCTGTTACGCACCAGAGTAGCACTACTTAAGGTGCATGGCTTCTGGTGTCCTCTGAAAATATGAAACAGTAAGCCTTACGCACTAAATCAGAACTATTTATTCTGCTGGAGATAGATAAACATCATTTAGTCTTCAGAACGGCATGGTTCAGAAACTAAAATCTGTAGATTGATTTCAGTTGGTAATTAGTTGGAACACGTACTCAAACTTCACTGTGTTCAGATTTTTTTAAAAGAAGTTTTCCATGTTGTGAGGGGGTTTGTTTCTGTGATTCGGAACTGTTAGGATGTTGTTCACTGTGTGTTTATAATATAGCTAAGGTACTGGGCTTCAACTAAATACGTTTTTAATCCATAGGTCAGATGTACCAGCAGTACCAGCAGCCTGGCTATCCTGCTCAGCAGCCGCAGGCTCAGCCTCAGCAGCAGTACGGTATGCAGTACCCAGGTAAGCAGCTCTCCCAAACGGCGGTTTAGCTTAGAACTTCTCCTTCAGCGCCCGACCCTGCGAGCTGCAGTTCCTGAACCTGTGGGGCCGGTCAGGGTGCTGAGCAGCCTGAGTGCCTGTGGCTCTGATGGGAACTGGTGCAATTCAAAAATTACCAGGAGGAGAGCGCTGTAGCAGTCTCTATTTTTAATACATAGTTGGGAGTTCTGGCATCTCAATCCTACTTGATTGGGACCAAAAGCAGACTTCATTATTAATTGGCAGAATGCATTGTTAGAAAGGCAGGCAAAAGGAATCGCCTGAAGTATGGCAGTCTTCAGGATTAACTTTTGCAATCTCAGGCTTCTAGAAAGTGAGCGACTAAAACATCCCAATTTAGCTTCCTTAAATATCAGAGGTATATAAAGATGGCCCCTATGACTTGCATCTAGAATGATCTCCATGTACAAAATTTAGCGGTGCAAACAGTGATCGTAGTTGTCATTTAGTAAATCCTTAGCTATTATACATACTGTAATTTCAGAGAAACTTTCAAGTGGTAGGTTTTTTTAGTTGTTGATTTTCCTGATGCCTCAAGTAAAGGTGCCAGTAGACCTTTACCAGAAGACCATTTTAGTGCAGTAGTGGTTTATGTGCAACTATGAAAAGCTGGCTTTTGCGTATACCCAAAATAAACTTGACTTCAGAACTTTCAGTTATTTACTTAAGAAGCAGCTGGCATCTAATAATGTGTAGCATATGCTAGGAATCATAATCCAGCTAAAGTACAGGGATGAACCTGTAACAGCAGGTTCTTTAACAACTTGCAACTTGCTTAATACTTTTAGAAAATGATAGAAAGCATTTATCATTCCTTGTTTTAAACAATCTTCCTTAAACTAAACAAAAGACTCCCATACCCTTAAGTGACTCTGACTAGAGCCTGTATGGCCTTTTTTTTTTGGTGTGCAATATATACAGTGGGAGTGCATCAGTTTTGATATAGATGAGAACACTTGCAGAGCTTATGAAGAAATTCCATGTTTATCTTGGATAAGAACCGTAGAAAACTTGGAACTGAAAGTTTGTGCCTCAGCCCTTGTTCCTGTGCACTGTGTGAGAGCTGATTGATTTGGGTCTCTAAATGGTATCTTGTTCCCTGCAGATTTCTCCCCCCACCTTTGTAATTAGAAGATAAGTGACAGAGTTTCTGAGGTCTAATTTCAGAAGAAGTAACAAGCCTGTTGGAAGTAGAAGGGGTCTATCTGACCTTCTTTAGGCTTAAAAACTGAGTGTGGGGGAGGAAAAGGTGTTTCCATCTGCTTTCTAGTCATATCCTACCATCATCTAGTCCATTATTTTACTGGAGAGGTTCCTGTGAAAGCTGTAGTGCAATGCAAGTTCTGCATTCTAATCAACATCATCTTCAAGCAAGAATGAAACACCACCAAAAGTGATCTCTGGGGCTCCTCTGTTTCTCATAACTTACTTCATGATTAACCTAATCTTTCAGAAGTGTCTTTTATTCTTCTGTTTTGAAGTATTTTAGAAGTGTGTTTTTTTTTTTTTTTTTTTTTTTTTTCTTTTGAGGACCTAGTGACAGCAGCCTTTGAAGATCTTGACTTGCAGGATTTTTTTGTTTCTTTGTTTTGCTGTTGTTCCCAGGAGTATTGTCTCCTTTCACACCCATGCCCCCCAAGAGCAGGATCCTTTCCCACTCTTGTAGGTCTACTAGGCAACACTGTGGCTATTTACTCATGGTAGTAAAAATGGACCCTTCTGAGGTTTGTCTCATGAGTAAATATTGATCCCGGTTTCAAGGTGAGTTTACTCCAGTGCATTCTTCAATCCTTACTCTTTCCTTTGAGGGCTGTGCACTTTTAATAATTTGTGTGTCTGGTGTTTAATGCTGACAGGATTCCAGTCACTGGAGAGGTTTCATTGCAAGTAGCTGCAGGTGTGTTTCATGATGGATAAAAATAGCTATTTCTTCATAAGAGGACTTTGTGTCATTTTAAAGTTTTCAATAAGAGAAATTCCTTTTGGAAGCTGGTTTTATGCAGAAAAATCAAATTTGGGACATGTTTAAATGGAAGTTTTGTACTGAAGTATTCTGTTCTGCACAACTTTTTCATATTTAAAGAACTGAAAACACCTCTCATTTCGCCAAAGGTATGACTTATATTAAACCCTGACAATATTTTCATGGGAGTTTAGTTTTGAATTTTTATTTGGGGAAAAGGTTGCCTTTTGCCTCATTTGCCAGTGAAGACTTTTTATTTTTTCATGCGACATGATGGTAAACCACTATTTGTCCTTTCTTTTGTTTTGTTTTCATTTTTAAATTTCTTGTCAGTCACGGGAAAACCAGTTTCTGCTAACTAGTTGCAGTGCTGCCACGGTGGTGCACCAAAAACCAGGCAGCGTGCTATGTGAAAGGCAGGAAAACTCGCAGTTCATGCTCGGTTTGCCTTTTCCGTGCTTAGGGCCTTGTTTTGTGTTTGCTATTGCAAAAAAAAAAAAGAGAGAGAAAAGAAGCGGCGGTATTTCGGCAGGCGCCCTCTCACCCCCCCCTCGCTCTGCCTTCCCAGCAGGCTACAGTCCGCAGCAGCCCCCCTCGCAGCCAGCCCAGCAGTTCCC